TAAGAACTATAAGAAATACATATTTCTTTATATAATAGTTTTTCATCCTTTTATTATTCAATTTTGGAAATTAGAATCATTTGATAATAAAAAGGAAAAATTTTTTTAAAAGGTATCTATCTCAACCTAATGAACCCTGATTAATTATTGGATCATCACTATAAATAAACCATTTGATAATGGCTAATATTTTCATTTGCCACTTCAGAATGAATATACATTTATAAACTTGCCTTTTTAAGTTTTTCACCTTTTGGTTACAATTGCTTTGCAAAAAAACAAATAGTTTTGAATGATTTACCATAATATTGATTCCATCTCTTATGAACTTCGATTAAAATAATATTAATTCATACTATAAAAGTCAAATCAATCTTTTTCCATTAAACTTAGTCATACTTATTTTTGTATTACAATATCTTAATCTATCAGCGTAAGGTAAAATCTTTAATCTAATAATTTTTAATATCAAAAGCTATTTTAATATATTTCTATTTCTTCCCCAAACGAATTCATTTATAATAATATTCAATTAAAGAGTATCTTAATTAGTTATTCTAAAATCTAAAATAAATTATTAAATATATATTCACTCATAAAATTTTGAATTTATTTTTATTTAGAATATCTCAATAAACTTGTTTCTAAGTGTATGAAATATACACAATTATAAATAATTAATTGATTCGTACAAAATTCTTTAACAAATATATATCTATAAATTATAACTTAAATTTAAATTGCTAAGTAATTTTAGTATTATTATCAATCAATAAATCAATATAATTTATTATTTAAGCTTTGTTGAGTATTTTTAATTTTAGAAATTATTACAAAATAAATAAATTGTTCCCATGAAATGATATAATTTTATTAGCAAAATTCATAAATAAAATATCAAAGTTAAGCATTTGTTGCTTATTTTAATTTAATAATATTTTTAACTAACATATTAAATGCTTCATTTATGATTCCAATTTATTCTTAATAATTTGGGACTTTATAAAATATTTAATGTTAATTAAATAATTATTTTTCATTTTGCTGTCCATTGAAATTTATTATTATTTTGGGCTTTCATACTAATTCATATAAGCAATCTCTCATTACAATTTTACATAAATTTACATTGTATTAAATGCTTTCCAGTCGTGTTTTAGGATAAGAGTTTCAAAATACAAAATTTCAAAATATTCAGATAGAATTTATTTTAATATATCAATAACATTATCAAAATATTCTTTTTTTCTCTTCTCTTGGCTGTGCAAAACAAACTAAATACATTTTAAAAATAAAGATAAACTTAGTTCGAAAAATGTATCTAAATTAGCAAATTCTATAGTACTATAAACTAAATGAGAAATATTAAGAATCATAATAAATAGAGGAATTCTCTTAAACATTTATAAATATAAAAATTTGATTTTTGAGGTGAAATCAATTAAAATGTTTATAAAGTTTTCTACATATCAAAGAAATTGTATTGTTATAAAAGTCAAAATTCCAAAAGTAGTACTATTTAAAACATTTCATTAAACCTTATGCAAGTATAAAAATGTAATTGATGGATATCTAATGAAATGTTAATCGTATAAACGCTTGTTTTACAAATATGAAAGAATGCCAGAATTACTAAATAGTTATGATGCAGAATAATTGTTGAAATTAGTTGAATCCATAAAGCATATTAAATGTAGAATTAATTCGGAATGTTTCATTATTTTTAAGACTTAAATTGCTCCATTAACAACATTTGTTGAAAGATAGTTGCATAATGGAGTTTTAAATAACAGAAAGGATATGTTCAATATTCTGGAATTGATTTACAATTTAGAAACCACTCGTCTCGACATCATTTAGTTCCAACTTAACTCATTTATATCTAAATTTAACTAAATGCTTATAAAAATTAATTCCATTTTTAGAAATTATATTCAATATCAAAAAAACAAATTGTAAAATAATTGATTGACTATTTTTTTGTTTTTAGGTAACTTTCTCAAAGGTCATTGATTAGAAAATTTTTCCCCTAATAAATTAGGTAAAATTTAAAAATTTTTTATCTATAATCATAAAAACTCTGCTTCTCCAATTCTTTCTGAACTAAAGATAAGTTTGTAAGCACTTTTTTTACTTGAAGGTTCGTAAGATATACATTATTAACATTCAAATTACCTGTTTTTAATAAGTTTTATTTGAGAATTTTAGAATATTGTTAATAAGGTTAAGTTTCAAAGCATACGGTGATAGAAATAAGTTTATGACCTAAGTAACATATTAGTTATTTGAAATAAAATAGCATTACTTTTCCAAAGAATAATATTAAAACTCTAAATTGTTGAAATATTGAAAGCCAAAATCAAGTGTTTCTGCATCATTTAATTATTTTAAAGTTTTAGTTTAATTTGTATTATTTCATTCTCTTTCAATAAAAATATGAAGAACAATTTATAATAATATAATAAAGGATATTAATATTCAATATAATTTACAATAATTTTTTTTTTAAATATCATGATGATTTTAATTAGAATTTAATATAAAATTAATTGATAAAATAAAAGATATTAATATTCAAAATAATTTATAATAATATATTTTAAAATATGAAACTATTTTTAAATAGAATTTACTTTAAAATTCATTGGTAAAATAAAAGATGTTATTATTTAATATAATTTATATTGCTTTTATTCTTAAAATTTCTTCTTTTCATATTCAGTTTAATCTAAATCTAAGCCTTCCTCGGTGCAATTCTTTAATTTATTTCCATCGAATTCCTTTAATTATTAAATAACATATTCATCAATTGGGTCAATCATATAGATAACTCATAATCTTTTTTCTTTAAAGCTTCAACAAATGGTGAAGCAGCAACTGAAGCCTTTGATTCTCCTATAATGAAGAAGATATCCTTTTATCCTTCCTTCATTTTACTAACATAATCCTTGAGTGAAACTAATTCTTAATCACTTTTAAATGTGTGTAATATAAGGAATTTACTTAATTTGGTTCTATTGGCTGAATCTTCATGGATACCTAATTTAAGATTCTTTGAGAATTTTTCATAGAATTTCTTATAGTCTTCAGCATTTTCACAGATTTCTGTGATCATTCGATAACTTTTAAGATCTTGTTGTGTTACAAGAATTCTCTTGAAATATTTAAGGGTAAATCTTCAAAATCAACAACTCCCTTAACGAATCCAAAATATTCAGAAATCAATTCTTCACAGTCATCCATAATGAATACTCTTCTAACATACAATTTGATATTATTCTTCTTCTTCTTTGTTTCAAATAAATCAAATGGTGCTCTCTTTGGAATGAATAGAACTGCTTTAAATTCCAAACCTCCTTCAACTGAGAATTATTTGACAGCCAAATGTTCTTCCCAATCGTTTGTCAATTAATAGTAGATATTAGCATTTTCTTCCTTGGTTACTCCTTCTTATTTCTTCATTCATAATGGCTTGTTCTTATTAACTTATTCGAATTCAGTGCTAACTTCCTTGATCTTCTTCTTCTTTTTTTCAGCTTTATCTTTCTCTTCTTAGACTTCAACTTCTTCAGCTTTCTTTTCCTTATTTTCATCTTCATCATTACTAACTTCCTTCTCTGTTTTTCTTTCCTATTTATAATTCAATTGAGAATCCAATAAATTCTGAATGTTTTTTAACCAAATCCTTGACTCTCTTTTCTTCCAAGAATTCTAAGTTATCTTACTTCATATGTAAGATGATGATTGAAAGAATATACCACCAGCTTATGATTTCCATCTTTATTATTATTCAAAAGCGATAACTATGAAATGTGAAAAATATAATCAATTATTGAATTGCCAAAATTGAAAGAATACTTCTAATAGATCAGATAATTATGAAATCTCACATTTTCTAACACTATCTATTGTAGTAGACATTATTGTGATGAATATGATGGAACAATGAGTGAAAAGATCCTGATAAACATTTTCTAAAAAGGATAATAATTGAAATTACAAGCAATATTAGTTATAATGTTTAGGCTAACTATAGGAAAGTTTAATAGAATTTTATGGATTAATTTGCTTTAGAGAGTAAATTATTAAAAATTAAAAACAATTTAGGGTGGGTTTAATTTTCCGTAGCTGGATTAATCTTGGCCTATTGGCCCTGCAATTTTTGAAAGAAGCTAATTATTCTTCCAAAATCGATTTAATAATTTAGTAGATCTCCAAGAAAATGCATTGCCTGGTCTATATCTCTCTGCAATTTCATTAATTTTTATTTTTTTATATTTATTTCATTGATTTCATTTATTTGATCTTTATTAGACCTAGTGATTAACAAAATTTAAGTGAAAAAGGCCATATTAAAGTATATATATTGGAAGAGAGCTATTATTATGGTATTAGTATTTATTGATCAAAAAAAATCAAGCATTTTTTCTTAGTATAGGAATTTTAAATAGTTCAATTTTTTGAGTGGTTTCTTTGAAGGATCCATTGTTTTTGAAAAAAATTTTAACAAATTAAAATACAAAGTAACATAGTAACATAGCAATTATTCCCAATTAAATATTATAAATTTTTATAAGTTTTTCTTAGAGATTTTACAAATATTATTATTATTAAGCACTCTAATGAATTGAAAACCAGTATAATAAATTTCTTTTTATTTAGTGTGATTAAATTCTTTCAATTTAATTTATTTAAATATACTTGTATAAAATATTTATTTTCATAAAATCAAACTGTATTATTTAATAAGAAGGCATACTAATTGTGGATATTTAAACGTATTTAAGTATTATTGTGAATAAATAGGAAGTTTGAAGAACCAGATAAAGAAGATGAAATCAAGAATTATTTGGTCTAAGTATTGAATAAAAAAATTCCAAACTTAAAAATTAGGAAAGGAAGGTGAGGGTTATTAAAGGTTTGAGTAAGTCTTTGGAATAAAAATTTAATTTACGCTCTACTATGTACGAGATAATAACCAATCATTACATTAAGTTTAGCTTTTAAATTTGAATTAATTTATTATTATGAGATTATGATGCATTATCGAAAGTCTATTTTTTTATCTAACAGTTGTATTCTTAAGTGCAAAAATTGATAATCATGCTTAACAATTAGAATTAAGGACCACCTAAAATAATATGAGACAAGTAGTGCGATTGATTTAAGAACTATTTGCATTAGAAGTAGATTTTAAGCTTCAAAAAATCAGATTAGATGAAGGATATTATTGAGTTGAGCATTTGAAAAGAAATCTGTACTACCTAAGTGCAGGAATTTACAATACAACTGTAGAAATTTCATGCATGCTATTCTAATTTTAACTGACTTATAAGAATAATTTTCAGTTCGATAGAGTACTATCAAACTTAGAAAGATTGTATATTCCACTTTAATAAGTTTTATTAGTCTCACAATTTTTCTTAATATATCCTATTAATCAAGTATTATAATTATTATAACTTAAATTTTCTCAGGTTAATACAAGTTTCAGTTTTGCAAGAGAGTTTATTAGCTATGACTATATAATCTAATATACATAAATAATTAGTATAGTTAATTTTAGTTGCATAAATCAGCATATGTAAGTGTATAAGTCTATGAAAAATTACGAGATATATCTCAGAAAAAAAAGATAAAACTATAGAACAAATTAACATAAATTATACAAACTATTATAAAAATTTGATATTATTCACAAAGAAATTTAAAAGTATTAAAATTATTTCAGAAAGATATCGAATCGAATCTGATGAAATTTAGAATAAGATTCCAAAAACACATTTAGATTAATTTTTACTGCCTATAAGAATTTGAGCAAAAACTTCAAAAATTTTTATTAGTAAGTAAATTAACAAATGACAATAAATTTTTGAATATAAAAATATATATATATTAAAACAACTCATAAACTATCAGATTATAAATTTATATACCTATTTATAAAAATTAATCATTTTGCCTCTATAATTCCTTTTAAACAATATCTATACAATAATTCATTTTTATAGTTTAAGGCTTGGAGTAATCTAATACAAGATATATTAGGAAAATTCAGAAAATAACCATTCAAAATTCATAATTGGAGTAGTGGGTGATTTAGCAATCTATCCTAATTCAATACAGTTAATAAATAAGGAGTTAACCAAAAGCATGGATGGTTTTTGAATATATTTTTCAACTTTTAAAGGCAAACTAAAGAGTATGTAATATTAAAGCCCTAAACTATTTAATGATTTGCCCTTCACCCTCATCCTTGGTTTTACTGCAATAATTATATTAATAGTTTTTTTCATTAAGGGTATTTTTGTATATTCATAAAACTAAAATTAACAAATATTTGACACAATAATGTTTATTAAATAATTTATTTTTTAGGTATATCTATAATATAGATTTCATGACTAAAATCAAAATCATTTCACATCTACTATTGAACAAATTTTGAATTAAGAAACTATTGTGAAATTATAAGGACAGAGCAAACAAAGTGGAAATAATTCTGCACACAGAATAGAACTAAATAATTATTCAGTATTAACACATACAGATAGTTTTACAAGCTAATGACAAAATTTGAAAATTATAATTTACCAACTCTATTTTTATAGAGTATCAACAATAGCTAAATTCACAGTTACAAAATAAGATGTAGCTTTCATCAATTAACATAGAAGGTATATAAGATTTTTTAGAATTGTAATAAATATCGTTGATATTCTCTAATCATCTAATTTTTATGGAGTTTCTTTTAAAATATAATGCTTTCTTTTGAGAGGAAAGGTTAAGAGTTATAAAACTTTAGTTGATTAAATTAACCATTTCATCTTCATGAAAATATAAAAAGTGATGCTGTCCAATCTTAATTAGTATATGAAAGCTAGCAATTTTCATAGAATATAAACACTAAGAATATAATGAGTATATTTAGCTTCCTACTATTATCTAAATATTTATAATTATTAAGACAATATCTGACTGCAAAGGTGTATCTTTATCCATAAGTAAAGCAAATATACCTGATTTTTTGTGAAAACTTAAATTTATAACAATTATCTATGTGTATACTTTTAAGGTGAGATATTGAGATTCTTTATAAATTATTAATATTTGTATTAAATTTTAATGAGCATTTAGGTTCATGGCTTTGAAATACAATGTTTATATCTATTTATAAGGAATTTCTATGTAATGAGTTGTTTCGGTTTTGGTCTAAAACTCTTTATTATGTAATGAAAAATGTTCAAATATTAAATAAACCTTTCATTAGAGATATAATAATTTAAAAACAAAAAATTTTAGATCATTTCCAAGGATCTAATTTAAAGATTATCTTTAAACAAAGATTTTTAAAATAATGAGCTATTTTAATTAATATAAAATATATATAAAAATACATTAATATAGTTTCAAAAAAAACACATCTACTCAGCTTTTCAATATTACAACTAAAATATTGTAATTAATAATAAGAAGTGTTGTAAATTAATAGAATATATTTAGAAAGAAATTCAGAAGAATCCCTGGTAAACAACAAAATGAATACAAATGTTTAGTCATGATCAATAAAAATCCAGAAACTAATATATAATTCAATATAAAGGAAAATCTAAATTGATTATAGTATCTGCTACTATGTTATAAGTAAATTATTATTAATGATGTTAAAATAAAACTTCATTTTATCCAAATTTTAAAAATAATGAATTGAGATAATTTGCTAAATATAAAACTAATTTCTGGTTGGTGGAAGCAAGTTGCTTTTATTAATAATTTATTCAAATATCTTGTTCAAGAAATATATAAAAGGAACATAAAGATCCACTTAATCTATACCAATGTCTTAGCATAAACTGAAAGTAGTTAATTAGTGCTCATGTAGCATTGAAAAAGCAGAAAATTTGATTCCTCTAAATTAAAAATAAAAGTCTTTAAGATGCCTTAAATGCCAAAACTATTAGAAAAGAAATCACAACATAAAAGATAAGGATGCACAGCATGAGAAAAGACATTGTTATAGATATTATTAAGTAAGATCTTTTTATTCATATATATTAATTCCTGTAATGTACTTATTACACTTAAATACAATATGAACATTGATACATCTAATGGCAAGTTAGTGCTGAAAGAGGCAGTTAAAAATGTTATAAGCTAGTCTTAATGAACAATAACCATAAATAAAAAACATTGTTACTAAATGTTCAGTATGAAAGGATTAAGCCTTTTAAATTAAAGAAGATGCTTAAGAGAAGAAGAACTTATCACGATTGTTAATAAAATTCAATCAATAAACTCGGTAAAGTGCAACAACCATAAGTCATGGAAAGTCTATATAGAAAATCAGATTATATAAGGTTTTATCTCTAATTAATTGAGAACAGGAGAGATTTTTTTCCAGTGTCACTTTCTGTTGAACGGAGTTTAATACACAAATAGGATTTATACTACTGATAAAAATAGCAATCTATGGCTCTAATAATTCATTATTTTTCTTGTAAATATTGATTATAGCACGGTTATACAAAAAAAAGATATTTTTATTAAATATACTAAAGAATTTTTATTTAGCATAAGCAATGAACATACTATTAGTATAAGTATTCTTTTTAAAGCATCAGTCTAATGGTTGGTTATTTTGAAAGGCTTTTAGTAACTTGCTTATGAACTTGATGTAGCTAACTTATATTAACACTACTCATTACAATCAAAAGTGATGATGTGAAGCTTAATTTATTCTTTAATATTTATTATAGTATCAGCATAAATGATTTTCTTTTATCTACTATCACAAAAGGTTTAGCCATTCATATTTTGGCTACCAGCCTAAAGAATAAAAAAACTTTAGCAATCATTCTTTTTTGCTTGTTCATATTGTTAATTAATTATGAAAGCTTACAACTTACTTACATAAAAAATACAATCAAATTTACTGTTTTAATAGTGAAAAACAATATTATTTTTTCATTATTCATGACCCATATTAAATTGTATAATAATGAAAATAGATTTTTATATTTTTACCACATGAATGATGTTGAGATGCCCATCTATTTTGGAAAAATCTTTATTTGGTTTTGGACTAAAATAGGGCAAATGTTTAAGCAGTCAAAATAAATCATAATTTCCAGGTAACATTATCACTAATATTATTGTTTACTCTATATAGTGCATAATGAAAAAGGTAAGATAGCAACTTCTTAATTTGCACTACCGAAATAGAAAAACTTAAAGCTGGATATTATAGAATGTGAAATCACGTGATCATGGTATAATTCAGATGTCAGATATTTTGAAAATTGTGATTACTTGATTTAAAAGGAAAAAAACTTTTTAGACATCATTAATTGATTAGCATTCTCAATTTAAAACTCAACCATTTGATATTCTGCATTATATTTAATTATATCTGCTATAAGCAAATGTGTAAAATGATATTATTGGGTGATAATAAAAGTTAAAATTATTCAACAATATTCTAACCAATAAAATTAATCACTCTTTTGATTTGATCTTTATAATTCATAATACTCTCAACTCACATTTGAATTCAAAATTTTCATAATGCTCCTTAAATCAATCAAAATTAAGACTTGATTTAAAATTAATAATCTGCCAATATTTAATCATTAGCAGCAATTAATTTATAGTATTCTATTCATGATGTCTCTTTATTTTATTAAAAAGCAATGATAAATATTTTACCTATGAACATGTTCAATTATCCATATATTTATATATTTAGTCTTAATTGGAAATGAGGAAAAGCCGAAATCTCTAGCTAAAATATCACTCATAATTTAATGATATGAATGAAAATAGCGTTTATATAATCTAGTTGGATTTTGATTTAGTCATAAACAACTGAAGGGCTGATGTGGATTGGATTGCATTCTACAAAACAAATCTGCTATAGACGCTTACACAGATACCCACATTTTTTTATTTATCAATTTGGCACTGTATAGAATTTTAACTTATTAATTCAATCTATTCTTGTTTTTATAATAATTTAGTATTAATTATTAATTATTTTTTGCTCTTTAGTATGGATGAAAGTTTGATAAAAATTAATTGAAATGAATCAAATAGGTTTAATTTAATAGTTGATCTAAAAATTGAAAAAGATAATAAAGAAATGGGAAAGAGATTTGCAATGAGTGTGTAAATTAATTCAATAAATTTTTAATCCTTATGATTATTCTTTTGATCAGAGAATATATTAAATCATGATAAAGTTGCTCTAAGATTTTTAAAATGTATGCCGAACATAAAGGATAATGAGAATCATTTTCTAAGGCCTTAATTTACCCATTATTATGTTAATGAAAATTGAGTTTTATTGAAAAAAATCCGATCACTTGATGTTTGTGGTCAAGTCGCTTATATAGAGATTGATTCTGATAGCATCTCTTTGTTTTTTTTAATGATATCATGCAATATTTGATGAAAAATTTTTCCTTTATCATCTTGAATTAAATATATTGTAATTTTCAAATAATTTGCAATAAGACTTGCCAATAAAACTTATATATATTTTATATTTATTTAATCATAATTAAATTTTTTAGGTTCTAATTATTTTTTTTGAAAAATATATTTCTTTACCAAAAAAGTTGTCAACTCAATTTAAAGGAGAGTTTCTCTTATCCAATAAATTAATTTTATATATTTTTGAATTTTTGTCTCTCAGACCATCTATGTTTTAATCTAAATAAAAAATATTTATTGCTTCCTATTTCATACTTAAAATATTTTTAGTTGCTTCCAAAAAATCTAAAAAACTTTTATTCTACTTATTTAAAATTTTACATTTAAATAATTGTGGCCTTGCAATTCATAATCAAAAGAGGATTTTTTATAAATTTTACCATTCGAATAAACAGCAGTTTATTTTAAATTATTAGGCATTAGAAAAATAAACCATCTTTCTATTGATATAATTATGTTTTGGGAAACACTCATCAAAATTCATTTGAATGAACAATATTTATTGTTTTTAAAAACAATGTATTAAAACTATATTAATAAAATAATAGTATACTTGAATATCATGTAACAATTTATAACTAGATAAGCATTCTATTGTATTTAACATAGGTGCTTAAATATATTAAGTGCATTAGAATACGATTTAGATCAAATTCATTTATTAAAGACAAGTCAAGTAAATAAATCTGCATAGAAATTTGGAAAATTAGCTCTGTATTTAAGAATGTGCTTAACTAATTTAATTTAATTTAATTTAAAATTACCAAATTTCTATAATTCTAAAACCTATCAAATTAAATTACAAAAATTAAAGAATTTTATGATAAAATTTAAAGAATAAGAAATTCCTTATGTTGAATTCAGAAATTATCTCTAATTTTTTTCGAATAGAAGTAAAATTTGGAATTAAGTATGTTACTCTAAAGATCCACTTGAATTTACATCTTTATTTATTTAAGGTATCTATATTTAAAATAAACTCAGGAGCAATCTTATCATCTTAATAACCAATAGATTATAGAGTATAACAGGTTTCCAAATCTAAATTTATTTTTTTAATAATTGTTTTTTTCTTTAGTATTTATATTAATGATTAATATCCATAGCCGTTTTTAACAATAAAATGGGCATTATTATTACTAATGGAAATAAATAGCACAATTCATGGAAAAAGAATAGTCAACAGATGCTTAAAATGGAGAGATCTTTGCATCTAATATTTAACTGAATAAGATCTCATATTAGATCTTAAAAATAGCAAGTGGTAGTTGAAGACAGAAATTTAATCCTTGATTTATAAACATAAAGGGTGCTTAAAACAGCAAATTTAACTTATTTCAGATTCATTAGTTAAATATGAAAAATTGATTTAAAGCTTACAAACAAAAAATCTTGATTCGTTTGTCGAGTAATACTTGGAAGTAGATTTATTAATTATAAAGACATCAAAGATCATATTCTAAAAAAATCTCCTCTCTTTCAAAAGATTCACTTATCTAAAAAGATACAAAAATATTCACCAAAATTAAACAGGGGTGATTAATTAATCTAAAATTCTGTCTAAGTTTAAATAATAGTTCACGCTTCAGTAAATGGATGATACATCAAACATCAATTTAATTAATAAATAATGTTAAATTATAATGGTTGACCTTAATGAAATACAATAAGCTTCAAGTAGATTAATTTGTATTAAATGCATTAGTATAAATCCAGCAAAATATGTAACAATTAAAAATTTAAAGAGTAAGGCAAAATTATTTATCAGAAAAATAAAATTACTGTAGCAATTATATTGAAAGAGTTCAAAGTAAATTTAAAGAACTGAATTTAGTATTCTCTGAAATTTAATGTAAGATAACCAATTAAATCACAACAAGTATCAATCAAGTAAATGTAAATCAAAGATCTAACAATTAAATAAATATCTTATTAAGATAGTGGGATATAAGATAAAAATTAAGACATTTCATTAAAAGATTTCAATGAATTTTAAAAACATTGTAAAATAAATCAGAGGATCATAACCTATATAGTACCTTTATAAACTGTTTGAAAAGTAACTACATACAATGAAGAAATAATTGTATCATGTAGTAGAGATGGGCAATTAATTTTGGCTCAAATAAAATGAATGGGTATGTGAATAATTAATAATGATCATAAAATTCTGTATATTCATTAAATTTAAATAAATAATAAAATAGATTGATTTTATTCAGTTAATATTATATTATTCCGAATAAGATTAAAAGTGAATTAGAAATAGAAAATATCTTTTTAGTAGATCAAAACTCAAGATATTTAAGTTATGTGTGGTTAAGATTATGTTCATTTCCTTAATAATATATAAAGTAAAAATGCTTGTTTGTCAATAAGAATGGTAAATATATGAATTTAATAAAAATAAATAAACGGAGAATTTCAAACTAAGTAATCTATTCAATTTTAAAGTTCTGCTGTATATAGATGCATGAATGATGAATAAGATAATATAATGAGAAATGAATATACAATATTATAAGTTTCATATTTATTTAGTAGAATTAATTAACAAAGGGAATAGCAATAATGCGTATAAGTGGAAAGATAAGAATAGATATAGAATAGAAACATCTTATAAGCCAATTGATAAACATGAAAGAAATTTATTAGCAAAAACATGAAAGAAAGTACTAAAAGAGAAAGTTTAACTTTCAATTAATTAATTAATAAATAATAACCCTAATAATAATATAAGCATCTAGCATATATTGATTGATAATTTTCTTATGAATCGGCATAGAACCTAGTAACTTAGACCACAATATAAGATACAATTAGTATAGAATTTACAGTTGAAAAAAGATTTTCAATTAAAAATTCAAGAAATCTCAATCAATTGATTAGTAGGAATTTATAAAGGATTTTTGAAAAAAAACTCTTAAATAATTGATTTCTTTTTATAACACTATAACTATAATTTCTTTTTTTAGGATTATCTAAATTTAAATTACATTTTAAAATATCTAAATAGAGAATCCAAAACCAAAGGTTGCATAATTGATTTTAGGCATCCTATAACAATATATGCTTTATATTTTCAATCTTACTGTTATGATATTTGAAAAGTTTTATGAAATTTGATAAAGATTAAGTTTAATGATGATATAATAAGCTTGATTTTATTGTCATAATTTAATGCTAATCTTTTTGAATTGAAACTATTAATCTCTATATAATGACGCATCCAAAATAATGAAGGCCAAGCATAAATAACAAAGTTTGAAAACTTGATCTTTTAATAAAAGTATGTATGAGAATATATACTATAATTTATTGAATAGTAATAAATTAAATGCACTAACAAAATAAAAAGCGATATATCTATACAATCATATAGTTTCTTTCATATAGAATTTAAGTTAATCTTAATCATAGTTAAATTTTTTTAAAGAATTAAGCTTTTTTCAACATTGGTGATTACATTAAAGCCTTAATTACAACATAAATAATTGGAGCATTTAGAGTTGCATTAACAATGCCTTTAGAATATATTATTACTCCATTTGAATGACTAAAATTGAATAAATGATTTGGTTATCTCAAATATTACATTGTATATGTCAGCTTCAAAGCTCGCAAGTAGTTTTATGGATAGATAATTCTTTTTTTAATGTAAAACCGATAAATTCTTAAAAAATTACTTAACAACAAAAATTATTTTGTCGCTTATAAGTCATATAAAAAAATAGCATCATTGTTTTAAAATCAAAAAAAAAAGTTTGTGCATCTTTAATTGATTATATTTCATATGTGAAAATTACTTCTTTGAGAATGGAAAAATTTTGTTATAGACTTACAAAGATTTAAGACGATAAATGCAAGATCAATATTTCTGATAA